TGCTAGGTGTCCTCTGGCCTGTTCTTAAAACCCCCACTAAAATAGATTCCCCTGTTTTCCTGAGTGAGCTTTTCTAGAACACAACTATCTCTGTTACCTAGGAGGATTTTCCAATTTCTTTCTTCCATATTCTTCATTCAGTTAATTTCTTTCTGTCTTTCAATGCTGTTCAAAACAATGTCTAGAACTCCCACTAGAAATCTACCAATGCTAGCAGGAATACTGCTTCTGGTGATATACTAGAGCTGTTTGTTTATCTTTCCTTCCCTCCTGTAATGAAATAATTCTATTTTACTAACATGCTTTGTTAAATTGTCTCCCTTTTACATTTGCAATCTACTGGGAAAATGAAAATAAACAACCAGTTCAGTTTTAATTACTTATTTCTAAATGAATAAAATTTACCTTGTCTTGATTGAAAGGCCCAGGTCAGCATTTTTAATCTGAAGACTCAAATTTAACAAATCCTGTGAAATAACGAAATCCTGTGAGCCTTATTTTTCTCCTAAGCATCCAAATAGCCACATCATCCTTTCCATGTTTTCTGAGATTTCTTTTCAACCCTCACCTAATCAGCCCAGAAAGAGCACATGCTGTAGTTAGGTTCAGGAAAATATCCATTCCAGTTTATTTTTACGGTGCAGTCACCAGACCGCCTAATACCTGAATTCTCCTTGCCTTTTCCTCAGCAAAGCATTAGTAAGGGCCTCCATCAGCCAGTGATTCTCATGGAACTTGTAGAAATTTATAAGTGACCCTCTGTCAGGCTTTATTGAAGTGGTTTCAGAAATGAACGAGAGAAGCTGATGTCATCCTGATGTGATCCTGGCACTAAGTTTTAAGAAACCTGTCAGAAAGTACCCAAAGCAATATTGACCTTGAATAACCTGAAAAAGCCCAAAGAAGAACACAAAATTTTCAAAATACTTTTGGAAGATCTCTAAATTCTTTTCATGGAGACAAGACAAATTAAAAAGCAAAGAAAAGGGAATTGTCAAATCACTTCTTTAGGGTAGCAGTGTAAACTTACTGTGTATCAGGTACTACTATCCTGAAAGGGCTTACCAAACCTGTCAGCCAAATCTGAGAGGTTAATTTTGATGGATGGCTATTTTCATATAAAAAGTCCTTTCCAATTACAGTAAAGATCTTTTCTTTTTCAATGGTAAACCTATGCTGCCATATCTTTACAAATGTATGTAAAATCCAAATTTTGTCATAAGCATGTGTTTTCTGTGATTTACTGTTCCCAGTTTAGACTTCCTTTTGCATGGGTTTTTTTTTGCTACATCAGCCCATTTCTTTAGATTTGTATTTTTTATGCATCAATAGTTCTTTTCTTTTTCTTACAAGATTGTGAAACATTTTAGAACCATTGATCTGGATTTCTTTCTTTGCTCCTCCAAAACGGAGCTAAGAAATCACTAAAGGTTGTTTTTTATTTCCTAGAACCATGCACTCTTAATGTAACTGATATGGACAGCAACAACATAGAGTTGAAATGGAGACAGGAAGAGTTAATTTTCCTACATGGAGATCTCATAGAGTTTGAATGTAAACAGGGATATAATTTTCTCCACCCTACCATTCTGTCTCCTGGGAGGACACAGTGTGACCACGGCAGATTGAAATATCCAAAATGTGTTATGCAAGGTAAAACAATAATTTTTTATTGCCTTCCCTTTTAATGAATCAGTCTTAGCTCTGTTTAGAAACAATTTGCTTTGGCAGTGCAGGCCTACAGTCTGTTGTAAATAATACATGTTTAGGCTTCAACAATACAGATATGAACAGATATCTTGCACAAGACAACTCTGTTGTTTAATACATCCAAGCATGGGAAAATTATACACATTCCTGTGATGGGCAAGGCTGTGGAAAGGAGAGAGAACCTCTTCTTCAAGCCCAGAGGACTGAAAGCTCTGTAGAAAGACAACTATAAAAAGAAATCCTTTGTGTGCCCCCAATTTCTGGTAAAGCTGCTGCTTGGTTAGTTTCTTATGCTGAATGTTTCTCAATTGTTTTTCATGTTATTCCAGCTCCTACAGAGAAATGTGACTCTCCACCATCTATTGCAAATGGAGCTCTTACTCTCCCACCACTGACCCAGTATGACAGTGGTTCCTCAGTTCAGTATAGTTGCTCTGACTATCATTTTTTGGAAGGATCTGAGAGAATCTACTGTTCTAAAGGGCAGTGGACTTTGCCACCAGTTTGTATAGGTAGGTGTGATAAGATAAATCAGCTTCTATTTCTCTATATAATTCATAGACTCAGAACATTTGGGAAGTGACCTGTAAAGGCCATCCCCTAAAGTCCATCCCCCCTGCAATAAGCAGGGATATCTTCAGCTGGATCAGGTTGCTCAGAGTCCTGTCCAGCCTGACACTGAATGTTTCCACGGATGGGGAACGACCTCTCCGGAAAAGCTGATCCAGTGTTTTACAACATTCATTGTAAAAATGTCTTCCTTATGTCTAGGCTGGATTTAGTTTAAAACCATTACCTTCTGTCTTATTGCTACAGCCCCTACTAAAAAGTCTGTCTTCATCTCTCTTCCTTTAGAGCCATGTACTTTGTCAAAAAATGAAATGGAGAAAAATAATGTGCTGCTGCAAGGCTTCTATGCAAATCAGGTTTACTTTTATCATGGGGATTATGTTGGATTTTACTGTAAACAGAACCATTTTGGAGCAGAATCTGGTACAACTTTATTTCAAGTACAGTGTAAGAGAGGACAGCTGACGTATCCGAGGTGTGTTGAAAGAGGGAAATAAGTCTGGACTCCAGGAAAGCCTATAGGAAAGGTATGTACATGTTCTTTTTCTACTGTTCCCAGCTGAATTAAGATGGCCTATATTTTCAAGAACACTACAGTCAGCTTTGAGAAATGAGTGTTCAGTTGCATTGCTGGGTCTGAGCTGAAGGGGGAGGGAAGTGCAAGTGCTTTGTGGTGTGAGGATTAGCAGTGCAGCAGAAGGATGCAAGATTGGCATACACGTGGAAAATTTGGGATGAAGGAGTTTTACAAGGCCCTACAGTGTTCAACTTGGGGATGTATCACAATCTGCAGGACTTGAGCCATGCCAAGAAGACACTGAGCAAAGTAGTGCCCTTTGTGAGATACTGATAGCATGAGCGATTTTGTGACTACAGAGTATGCCTAAATGGAGATTTAATTTCATGCCCTTCAAATGTATGTTTAGCTGTACTTTGACAGTGAGAAAGGAGAGGCTTGTTACTTTGTACATCTTAACAGCACCCCATGTCTCCTTTCACAGGTAAGGAGCCTCTAAAGGACAAGGCTTGAGGAACAAGATAAACCAGAAAGTATTAAAAAAAATTCTTTAAGGGATCTATAAAACCATTTAAAACATAATAATATTTTACTGAGTTGTTAAAATATTAAGAATGATAATTAAGAATATTAAAATATCCAATCCAACTACTTTGTATGATTTCCTATGACACTTAAATATGGGTATCCTTAAGGCTCTGCCTGTGAACATGTGTGACTGAAGATATGAAGAAAATTCAGGAATGTGGACAATGTTTGCCTTGCATCCATTTTAGTTGGTTTTAATAAAAAAGCCACTATAAGGGTTTCTTCTGTATTTTTTGTCTAAACTCCATCTGTCTGTGAAATCAGTGCATGCATAGTGTTCTGTATGGGTTTCCAAGGTTTTTCCAAGTGTTACATGAATAAATAAAACAAAAAAAGAAATTAAAGCATTTGAGAAATAGATAAATTCTGCTTATTTAATCAAAACCCTGTACAGATTGTAATTTCTGTTCTCCAGTTAAGTTCTCATTTCTGTGGTACATAACTGAGGAATCTGACTTTGGTCTTGGTATAAATTCATAGATCAGGGCAATTCCTGTAACAGTTCAAGTTTTGAGTGTTGGATGTGCTGCTTCAGACTGGCCTGTTTTAACCAAGGTAAGCTTGTGTCCCAGGGAAGTTTCAACAACTTATATTGGCTTTAAAATATTTCATGTAATGAAGTTGGTGGGCTTGATGCCCAGACTCCTTTCTTTTGAGAAGCTCTGGATGAAGCATAAGAATATTTGCTAAATGTAAAAATACCCTTCTCTTTAAAGAGCAAACTGGGGAAAAGAGAGAGAGAGGGATTAAAAGTCAGTTGCTGGAACGTCTTTTGGAAGCAGAATTCCTTTACCCCCGCCTGCCACTTCCTCTGAATAGGCTAAATGTGCATCTGTTAGCAGAGGGCAGGATGAGGCAGACTGCAGACATGAAGACAGCATCTTGTTACTGAAGTTTGAGAATGCTTCGAGTACTTGAGCTTCATGTGAGCCTGCTGTCACTAAATCACCCCTTTTAGTAACACACCACCTTTTTTGTATTTATTGTTTTAATGTTAGTGTAGCAGTAGAATATCTTCTTCTGACCGTTGATGTCCCTGTGGGTGTCACTAGGTCAGCTGCAGCTTTCCTAACATTATCCATACATGCCAAGTCAATGCCATGGACAGCTCAGCTTACAGTCTGTTTTTGCCTCAAGCTCCTGTACATCGATTTCTTTTCTGCTTCAGAGATCTATGTCGAGTCCCGGATTCATCAAGCCAGTCCTGGTAGATGTGTTTTTCTTCCTGAAGACCAAACTGGAATATTCTTGTGCTTGTAAGATTCTGTCCTTCAAGACTGTAAGCTTCTCTGGATTTCTCTATGACTCCCAAGCAATCCCACCTACTAGTCTCCTAAAACAGTCAAACTCATGCTCTCCTAGGGGGCCTGATTTGTACTCTACTTGCTTTCCTCTCTCCCCTCTGAATCATGAACTCCATTAGTACACAGTTACCACAGCAAGGCTGCTGCTGCTTTCCACAAGCACTTTGTCCTTGTTTGTGAAGAGCAGATGGAGCTGTGGGCTCCACTTACTTGCTCCTCCTGATCAGGTACTCAGGACACTCACCTCAGCTGTGACCCCAGGGTAGTTTCCAGGCAAGCACATGGAGAAGAAAGTAGGAATAGACAAGTGCTGAGAATCAAATTACTCACGAGCTTTAATTCTTGTCTCAGTATGCCACCAAAGCCAGCCTATTTCAGGACAAAATTGTTAATAAAAATAACAGTGAGATCAGTATAGAATGGATAAAATGCAAGCACAGCCATTTGGATGGACAAAATGTAAATACATTTACAAAAATGGATAAAATGTGGATAATATGCAAACACAATCATCCAATCATAAAAACAAATTCCAAGGCAGAACATTGGCTAAGCTGCAAACAAAGCACAGCAAAATGGGAAACACCAGGAAAAATTGAGCTCAAATCACTGGGTTGGCTGAGGGCTCTCTTATTTCTGCAGCTGGCCTCCTTCATGCCATTTCCATTTATCCAAACCACGATTCTGTGTAAAGACAGAAAAGGGGGAGAGTTATGAATACCAATCCTCAGGCACCACAGAGGCTCCTCAGAGCAGTGGTCAGGCAATTTCATCAAAACTGCCTCCTACAACCCCCACCCTGTGTACTCAGCACTGTGCACTTACTTCGACATGTAGGATATGTAATCACTCCATCCAGGCACTGTGCTCTAAATTTCTCAGCTCTTGAAACTTGTCGGTACCCGCTTTTGCATTCTAGGAAAATAAAATCCCCAGAGTGATAGGTGGAAGTTCTTGATTGGGGTGACTGTAGTTGAATATTGTTGCTTTCCATATGGTTTGTACTCACTGTACAGTTCCCTGCAAAAAAGGACTTTCATTATTTGCCTGTAGATCTCACACGGGACAACTGATGCTGTGAAACCACTGTGCCCTTTCCCCAGCAGTCTTTCCAGCTCAGGAATGCTGGCCAATGGCTTCTTGGGAGCGCTGCCCCTCCCTGCCTGTAGCTTACAACAGGGTTCTGCACTCTGGTTCCTCCCCACACAGTTCCCCAGGAAAGGGAAAGGCTTTTTGCTCCCCTTTCAGCACTAAAAATGCAACACCACAGCAGCTAATCTGTGGCTGAAGAGGAGATGACTTACTGCCCAGCCTGCATCGTGGGTAATCCAACACCCCCTCCACACACTGGACTCTGAAGTGGGAAGGCTCTTGCTCTTTCACATATCCTGCTTTACAACGAAATTCAATATAGTCACCCGATGAGACATACAGCTTGGTTTCTCTGGACCCTTTCAGCTCAATATTGTTTGTGTCCATATCTTCTTCTGATGCTGTACAGGGCACTTGAAAAAGAGAAGAGAAGAGTGTCAGCATTTCATACAGACACACCACAGGAAACTGTTTTGCCCCTAGAGCCTACAGAAGTTGTTTGCATCAAAAAATCCTTCCAGCTATTTGCTCTCATCCTCTGTTACTTGCCACAGAAAAGACATTCACAG